GCGTCGTCTACGCACTCTTGTCCGTCCTATTAAGGCTGTCCGGCTGTTCGGTTGGTTCGGTTGGTTCGGTTGGTTCGGTTGGTTCGGTCATCAGTCAGCCGTTATCAGAGCCGTTAGAGACAGGAATTCGGTTTCCGAGGTTCGAGCCGCTGGCAAATTGTGTGTCGAGGCGTCCAAGTGGAGGGCTCGCCAGCGCAACACCTCTACCGGACTCGAGGTGACCTCATGGTGGGCGGACAGGCAAACAAACAGACAGACAAACATACATACATACAGACAGACAGACAGACAGGCTAGCCAGCCTTACATGACCCGTCGGTTTGGTCACCGGAATGCTATCTGCCAGCCTGTCAGTGTGTCAGTGTGTCAGTGTGAATTAAGAATTATATTGGGTTGAAGACTCCCCAATCACATGAGCAGGCTTGACACACACTTTTTCCACCTGACTCTACACCAGTTTCGCTCTCACCGCGGTCTCATCAACAAGCCCGACGGGACTGGAACCCAGCTGGTGCAGTCTCCATTCTCAACATGGTGCTGCTACTCATTTTCAATATAAGTAGTCATCGAGACTAATGCTAGGCGAGCTATTGCACTCCAATTCAGCCGAGATAGGCTGTCCTTTTTGCAGACTTGGAGACAAAGTGAACTCGACTGATGGATGGATTGAATGTGCAACCACTCAGGCACGGTACCACTAGGCCGGACTGCCACTGGGTCACGAGGTAGACGGGAATTTCACGCAACCTTTCCCAAGCCTTTTCCCAAGCCATTGCGGCAACATTACATCGTTTGGTATGAAGACCAAGATGGTGTGACCGTTTGTGTGGTCGCAGTCTCCTCTCGTTGTTTATAACAAGTTGTTTGACCTTGTTTTCGTAAATCGGTCATTTTGGTGGGAAGACTGGCAAGCAGGAACGCAGCCAGTTCGGAGTCCGTGGTATGCATCATCATTTGCAGAGTAGGACCGTCGACGTGGAACATTCACAGACGTTTCGCCGGCTCTACTGTTAGCTCTACGGTGAGTACAAGTCTTGGTCAAGTCGTGCTCGAGCGACTCGAAATGTCTGTTTTTTCACCCCTCCCCGCTTTGTTCACTAGCCACGAGGCTCCGCTCAACCACGCCATGACGACAGACTCTTTCTCACTTTCCTGCCTTTCAGATACGCGGTCACCGCTCATGACAGACACTTCCGCCAGAAGAGTGAGATTTTATCAGAAGAGGACCTTCTTTTATCAGACTTCGCCATTGCGCGAATTTGTACATTTTATTTTTTTATTCCAATTTTCTTTGCTTTTAAAGAAAGCCACTTTTATGCCTCATTTCTGCTTCTAACCAGCTCTTTGATGGGCAGGGCAAGACGTGGAGACAAATGGTCGGGCGCGCATGAAAGACTGTTGACGACAGCACTAAGGCGGATGGAAGGGGTGAAGAGAGACAGACAGAGGCGAGAACGAGTGAGAGTGAGCACGGAAGCACGGAAGACGAGTGCGTTGGTCTGTTTCGAGGGTCTGAGGATGGTTGTCTGAAATTGTATGAACCGCCTGTGAAGTGTGCGTCCTCACGATCG